TGCAAAAATCAAGAAATCACATTTTTCTGCGAAAATCAAGAAATCACATTATCCATCAAAAGCCGAAAATTTGCATTTCTTATCAAAACCGAGAAAATTGTATTTTTTGTCAAAATTGAAAACTTGCATTTCCCTCGCATTTTCTCATCAAAACTAAGATATTTTATTTTAGCATCAAAATCAAAATTTTATTTTCTCACCAAAACCAAAAATTCACATTTTTTCGCCAAACCCGAGAATTCGCTTTTTTCCGCCATAACCGAGAAATTACCAAAACTGAAAATCACATTTTCCTATCGAAACCAAGAAATTCTCTATTCCCGCCAAACCCAAGGCAACTTGTTCCTGGTAATCACTAGACATGCGAATCTCCATCTGTGGTGGTCTTAGTTTCTCCTCATTTGCTTTGACTTCCATTTTTTTGTAAACTTTAAGCTTTTAATGGGTCAGCAAAATAGTAAACTAATTTTATTAGTGTGTTAATGATATGTATTATTGTTATGTTATTATTTGTTCAAATTTTTGCTAATGTGTGAGCTTCTTATAACATAACGCTTTTTGCGTTGTTGTTATGGAAGCATAGTTGATGATGAATCTACACTTTCTTCAATCATATACGTCTCTATCAAGCAAACACATAGTTAAAAATTTTAATTTTTTTTATTTATTATTTGAGTTTCAGTTTGACAAAAATATAAAACCAAGATTTAATTTTTTATTTGTTGTCATTTATTATTTGGATTTGGGGATGGTAAAAAGTAAAATATTTTTTATTTACTGTTATTTATTATTTGGGCTTGGGTTTGACAAAAAAAATAAAATAAAGATTAACAAAGAAAAATATTTGAGGTTTTAATGGGTTTAATTAGTTAAAAATAATAAAAGTTAGTAGATGATGTGTATTAATAAAATGTTTTGATTGGTATTTTTTTTTGCTGAGGTGTCAACTTTAGAAAACTTGGTATCTTCTAGAGAGACATTTGTGTTATTATCTAAACTATTAAAAGAGAATCATTCTTAATAAATGTTCAAAATCTACCATGGTATTTACAATATATGCCATTACCTTTACTAGACAATTTCATTAATTCATTAAGGATAATTTAGTAATATCATTAAATCACTAAAAATACATTAAATTATATTAAATTTTATTAATTTGTTAACAGATAATACGAATAAATTATATCTGATATTTAATAAAATTCAAATTAATTTAATTTGGAAATTATTTCAAAATCTTTCATAATATTTTAACATAATTGCCACAAATATATAGAACGAATAATTAATATAATTATATATATATTATATTATAAATAATATATATATTATATTATAATCAATTTATTCTCTATACAATTTAAAATTTAAGCACTACTTTATAATCAAACTAAGATGATATTTATTAAATATGAAAATTTACAGTAAATGATGAATATGTAATCATTATTTTTTGGTTACATATATACATACTATAAAAAAAATATTATGTCAATAATTTTTTCATGGTTTGTTAATGATTTTTTTGCCAGAAATCATGGATTCTGCGGAATTGACAAACACAAATTTCTAGATATTATAGGTTTTACAAGTTTTAGCGGGTTTTATAAGTTTTAGCGAAAAATATACTTTTATGAGAAAATGCCAGTTTAACAAGAAATATGTTTTTGTAGATTTAGCAGAAACACATGATTTTAGAAATTTGGTTTTGCAGATTTTATGGGGTTTATGGGAAACATGGGTTTACGGAATACGAATAACGTAATTTTGTGGATTTTATAGGTTTTAGCGGGAAAATATAGTCATACGGGAAAATGCGGGTTTGTGGGTTTGGAAACTCGATTTTGCAGGTTTGGCAGAAACACATGAGTTTAGAAATTTGATCGTAAAACATGATTTTAAGGATTTTATAAATTTATGGAAAATATGGGTCTGTGAGTTTGGCCAGAAACGTGATTTTGCGGATTTTATGAGGTTTACATGTTTTGGCGGACTTATAGGTTTTGATTGAAAAATGTGGTTTTATAGATTTTATTGAAAATACAGGTTTGCGGGTTTGATAAAAAAACATAATTTTGCAGGTTTGATTATAACACGTAATTTTAGAATTTTGGCCATAGAATACGGTCTTATGGTTTTAGCGAAAACATAGATTTTGGTTTTGTTAAAAAATGTGGGTTTACAATTATTGAAGGAAAATATGGTTTGATGGAAAATGCTATTTTAAAGTTTCTACGGGAATTCCTGATTTTGGTACACCAACATGGTTTTAGTAATTTTTGATTTTGTTACAAAAATGTGGGTTTACAGTTTTGACAGGAAAATACTGTTTGATGGAAAAAGCTATTTTTACAGCTTCTATGAGAATTCCCGATTTTAGTACAACAACGTGATTTTACTATTTTGCGGGAAAATGCAGCTTTTTATTTCGATCGAAAACTCTGATTTTATGGTTTTGACAACGAAAAAACTTGATTTTATGGTTTAAATTAAAAATATATTTTGGTCTTTTAATTTTTGAGATTCAAATGCTACATCCAAACTCTATTTTTTTAGCATCTTAAATATTCTAATTTTGAAATATTATAGATTTTGTATTCAGATATTTAAAAAACTATATTTGAACATTTACATCCAAATAAGTATCTGGATGCAAAAACAAACAAAACCTAAGTAAATATTGAAATCTTAATTACAAACAAATAAAATCTCTCTTGCATTATAAAACATAATACTTTGAACATATTTGTTACCAAAATTTAAATGGAAATCCGCTAATAAAAATATCTTTTTTATAGAAATCAAGCCTAAATAATTTTAAGAACATAAAACCATAACGTAAAAATAGTTTATATAATCTAATAAAAAAATTTCTGTTTGGGCCACAATTTTAGATTTAATAATATGAGCTGATTTTTTTAAACAAAAATTTATTATAAACCGATTTTTAGTATGGCATAAAAATATTTTATGAAAAGAAACCCGCGTAAGTGCGCAGATCCAACATCTAGTTGTATTGATTAAATTAATCACTATTATTAAGAGGTCTATATCTTCTTGACGGGTACTTAGTCAAGAAATCACTCAGAGGTACCCTATTTATCAAAAGTTGATATCGTTCTACTAAGAACTCTAAACACATTTAATAACCAAACCCTAAACGTACAAGTATTTGGGCCGATGGTAAGATAGTACTCGTTAACAAGTTTTTCTTGTATCGTTTATTATGCAAGAGAGAAAAATGAATAAACTCAACTCATTTACCAAGTTGGTCACTTATGCGACACAAAATAAACGTAAAGCATGGCTTGGATGATTGAGAGTATGAATGAGAATGCTTGTACAGGATAACCACATGTGCCTATGCCAAAATGTCGCCATACAATCTGAAAGCCTATGATGTAGTTGTGATCCGGGTCAAATACTTTTAATCGGATCTATTTTCAAATAAAGAGATCCGTGACTTTCTTTATCTGATTTGATCATTTTCTAAACCACATGTCACCCTCGCTCATTTTTTTCAGTAGAAAAGAAGGCGAAACAATTAGGTTTTGAATGGATATACAGAACAAATGCAGATTTTAAAAAATACAGAACTAACTGCATTTGTGAACCATTCACAGATTTAAATGCAGAACAAATAAATAATCTGTATGCAGAATAATTATTATCTTGATTTTTTTTTATTTGTATTCAAAAACAAAAAACATATAAAAAGTATCAGATTACTTGCAGATCTAATTTTTTATTTTTTTTATTTATTAATTCAAATTATTCATAATTTACATATCTACATATGTTCTATTTTATCTGCATTATTTACTTGATCTGCACATGTTAATCTGTATTCAAAGTCTTAGTTAAAGCTCGGGACTACCGTTTAAGATCTACCACAAAAAGAATTCATGTTTTCTTCTCTGTCTTCCATTTTTTTCAAGTTTCCGACCATATTTTCTGATAAAAATATTGATTTGAGTGTTGACACTTGACAAGTATTCAAAAAGATATTATATAAATGTTTTAACATTTTCATGTGTTTGCCAGTTATGCAGAATTTCTTTTCCATGTAGATTAGAGAAACTTTTCGGCAACAATTTATTATCAATATCTATTTGATTGATAGCATTTGCAATGGAAGTTTTTCATAAAAAAACTCTTAATATTAATTAATATATACATATTGATTTAATTACTATTTTATTAATAAATTTTTTTAAATATTAAGAGACTTCTCTGAAAAAATTTCATTTCTATTAATAAAATAATAATTAAATCAATATATATATATTTAATTAATATATAGAGTCTCAAATTCTCATTATAAATGGTCTAATATAATTAATACTGTTTTAATAATTATTAATTATAAAATAGTGCAAAAGTATTATTAACAGTATTGCATTCAGGTTTTATTTACCATTTTTGCTTATAATTCATTTTGTTACAGTTTTCAATTATTTTATAACGTCTATTTCTCATTACAGTTTATTGATAAAGAAAACTAATTTATCATGTTTTAGGTTACCAATTAGGTACATGTAGAAATTGTAGACGTCCAAAAAATTTGTAACTATTAATACTTTTTTACATAATAAAAAATGTAGCACTACTATTTAATTTGATAATTTCTTAACGCACATGATCCACACATGTAACACGACAAACGTTTACAAGTGAAAAGCTTACAAATCTTGAATATTTGCACCACGTTGTTAATAGTTTCAGTACTATAAAAAATATAATATCGTTAATTTTTTTTATTATCATAAATATTGTCAATTCTTTTAACAATTTTTTTTTGTTTTAATGATAATTATACCATTTTTAATGTGTATATTATTTACTATTTAATAACCGACCAAAACAATGTGTATAGATAAAAATACTAAACAATCAAATCATTTGTAGACGACAAAAAATAATAATAATCATTTGTATTTTGACGTTGAAAGAAACCAAAAATCATTTGTATTTTGTAAATGTCAGAATTCAAACATTGCCGACTAAGATCACTAGAGACTCTCTCTCCGTCTATTTTATCTGTATCCCATTTGGTTTTGTGTGTGTGAAATGAAACGAGAGATCACCACTATTTATTTTAGGATCAATTTTCGATACAAAATGCAAAAAAATTGAAAAGAAAGAAAGCCAATTTAGAAAGAAAAAAAAAATCGAGCGATTGGGAGGGAAAGCCATTGAAACAACATTTAAGAAACCCAACCAAAAAAAGCTCCGATAAAATTTTCAAGGAGGAAGAAGAAGAATGGCCGTTAATGGTGACAAGGTTTCAGGTGAAGAATCAGCTTCAGATCGTCCGGTTAGAGTCTACGCCGATGGGATCTTCGATTTGTTCCACTTCGGCCACGCTCGCGCCATCGAACAAGCCAAGAAATCGTCAGTACCATTCAATCTCTGCCTAAGTTTTATTAAATCGATGATTTGCTTTTTTTTTGCCGGAATCGAGAAATTAGGGTGAGTTTTGCGTTTTTCCGGCGCCGGCGTGCGTCGGTTTGTGATTCAGTTTCTAATTTGAAACCGGAAAAACAAAAATTAGGTTTCCGAACACGTATCTGCTCGTAGGATGTTGCAACGACGAAATCACCAACAAATTCAAAGGGAAGACGGTGATGACAGAGTCCGAGCGCTATGAATCTCTCCGACATTGCAAGTATGTTGATTCAATGAAACCACACCGTTTTGATTCCGGAGATTGCTGAAATTTGGAGTTTTATTAGAATGGTGTTGTTGTGTAAACAGGTGGGTCGATGAAGTGATTCCAGATGCGCCATGGGTTCTCACCACAGAGTTCATCGATAAGCATAGGATTGACTACGTAGCTCACGATGCGCTTCCGTAAGAATCGTTTAAGAGAAAGAAATGGTTTGTGTTTGTTCTTGTTCAACAGTATGTGATGCTTTTTTGTTCTTCTTCTTCTTCTTCTTCTTTCCAGATATGCGGATGCTAGTGGAGCTGGAAACGATGTCTATGAGTTTGTGAGTATCATCAACATAGAGAGAGGTTCTTCTTTCTTTCTTTGGTATCTCTTTCTGATTGAAGCTGTTTCTTTGGGTTTCTGCAGGTGAAGTCGATAGGGAAGTTTAAAGAAACTAAACGAACAGAGGGGATATCGACATCAGACATAATCATGAGGATAGTGAAAGATTACAACCAGTATGTGTTGCGTAATCTTGACCGAGGCTATTCAAGAGAAGAGCTCGGTGTCAGCTTCGTTAAGGCACGGTTTCTCCATCCTCTGTTTCTTTGTTTCTTGTCAATATAACCTATATGTCTCCTTGATCTGAAAATATTATGGACGTGTTTAATACAAACAGGAGAAGAGGCTTAGAGTGAACATGAGACTGAAGAAACTACAAGAGAAAGTGAAAGAACAGCAAGAAAAGGTTATCATTACTCGTTAATGATGTTACCTCGTTTACATTTGAATCCTGAATCTTTTTTTCATTATTTATGCAGATACAAACCGTAGCAAAAACTGCTGGGATGCACCATAACGAGTGGGTTGAAAACGCTGATCGTTGGGTTGCTGGATTTCTTGAAATGTTTGAGGAAGGTTGTCATAAAATGGTAAGCAAGTGCATCAAAACGGGGTTTGATTCTCAAGCATGTGTGTGTGTTTCCATCGCTAATGATTTCTGGATGAGGTTTCTTTCTCCAGGGAACAGCCATCAGAGATGGGATCCAGCACCGGATATTGAGGCAGGAATCAGAAGAGAACCGTCGCATGCTTCTTAATGGACTGACAAATGCGGAAGACGAAGATATTTCCAGTGAAGATGAGTTTGCACAAGGAGAGGAAACATTTCATGATGATGAAGATAGCTTAAATGTGAGCAACAAAGAGAATGAAACAGTAAAGAAATGAGAGTTTTTGGCACCAAAGTGTTAACAAATTCCACAGTTAGTGGCATATTAGGCTTTGTTTATTCTGTTCAACTGTTTTCGCAAATCTCTACTTGTTTATATAAGACTAAAACGCAGCAGAAAATTTAAAGTAGTCACTGATATATAATTTATCATCAAAAGACTCGAAATAATTACATTACAAAGAAATAGATAAACAAATAAATTCAATCCATTAAAAGCAAGAAAGAACAACATGAAATAAATAATTTTTCAGCATTTGCAGAAGGTGAGAAGCTTGACATCAGCGACTGAATCTCTCTTCTTTCTAGATTTCTTGAAGTGTTTCGAAGCTGCTTTTAGCAAACCATCCCACCCCTAAACAATAACCACAATTATTATACATTATTAAAAAAAAATCTTTATAATATAAATCAAATTTTTAAAGGAAAATGCAGATACAAAGAACATCATATATGTAGATTATTACCTTGGTGGGAATAGCGAAGCAGCCAATTTTAGTTGAATCTTCATTCTTCATGTCTAATTTCACTAACTTACTCTTCTTCTTCTTCTTCTTTTTCATTGAGATCTTCATATTCATCTTCTTCTTGCGTTCTTGAAACTCTCCGAGCTCAAGGTTCCGACAAACGCAACTGTCGGAATCAAAGTCTAGATCTGAAGGAGTAGAGTAGTTTCGAGGCAAGAGAGGAGACCAGAGAGAGCTCTGTGTGTAGTCGAATCCGAAAGCAGAGTTATCTGGAAATTTACCGAGAAGCTCTCGACACATTACTGGCTGTAAGTATTCAACTACTTTTGTTGTAATAAGAGGAAAATTCTCCTTCTCTTCTTCTTCTTCTTCCTGTAGATTTAACCGTTTCGCCATTTTTTTCTCCTCTTACCACTTTTTTTTTTAATTGTTGTTTCAGATCTTTTTCGCTTTTCTGAGTTTTCGTCATGTCCGTTTATATGTTGGGTGAAAGCATGATGAAGAAGAAAGACGACCGTTGGGGTCAAATTTTGGAACACGTGTCTTATAATCATTGGGTAATTAAGATAAACTTTTTGTCCAAAAAGTTACCGTTGGAAGACTCAATTGTGATCGGCGCAGGAATATTGTACAGTGCGCACGGCCGAATCTAACATTTTTTATATATATTTATTATTCAAGTCTACCGTTACATTATACAGATTCAATCTAAATTCATTAAGTAAATTTTGATTCTACTCAGTTGTAACTTGTAAACTTGTAATCAATTGATTAGATATGAGCAATTTAAAATATGTGATAAAAAACTTTAAAAAATACTCATTCTGTATCGGATAATTATTTTAATTTTTATTTTATAAATTTTTTCAATTCAGTCTCGGCTATACATCGTTTAGCAATACATTAAAATAATATATTTTGAAGAAGCTCGATTACAATTCGATCACGCACAAGCAGACTTGGCCCATAGTACAAGTGAGCATGGCTTAGAACCATTTAATTTTTTGAATTTTTAATGGGTCACATATAATATTAGCAATGATAAATCTATATATATTAAATTTCAAAGTTTTGGCGCATAGTTTCAGAAGCTTTGGCAGTCGCAGACAGACTAGTTAGACGGGGAATGGCAGTTGATCAAACCTGCAAGTTATGCCAACAACACCCATAGACTATTTTTCATGTAATGTTCAAGTGCCCATCAGCAGAAAACATTCTCTCACTGGCCAACATCACTCCTCATGATGCAGATATATCCTTACAATCATCAGATTCTCCGAAAGAAAACATCAGAATTCTGTTGAAACCCGCAAATAGAAGCCTAGAAAAGGAAAGCTATCCCATGGCTACTATGGGATATCTGGAAAAACAGGAATGCAATCATGTATGCAGGAAAACAAGAAGAGCTGCAGTCCTAGTCCAAAGAGTTATAATGGAGGCTTCAACTTGGTATGGGGCAAACAAACAGGGGACTGAAAATGAGAGAAACAGAGGCAAGATGGGGATCTCAGATCAAATATGGCAACCACCTGCATCAGGTATTGTCAAATGCAACACGCATATGCATTGGAGAAATGAAAAACTACTCAATGGTGGTGCTTGGTTGGCCCGTGATAGTACGGGGGGGGGGGGGGGGGGGGGGGGGGTGTTATATCATGCACGGGATGCATTTACAAGCTCACCAAATCGTCTAATTGTAGAATGAGATGTATCATATGGGTCTTACGCAGTGCACGGGATCCCAAGCATATGCATTGCCTCCGACTATGCTGCTGCAATCGAAATAATCATGAAACCTCTGGAATGGCCAAGATATCGCTCCCTCGCTGAAGTCATAAACAGTTTAAAAAGAGAGTTTGAAGTCTGTGGATTTATGCTCGATACACCTGGAGCCAACACGATTACAAGAGACATTGCTAGAAGCGTAACAAGAACCAGACGCTTGCAATCCTATCTAACACTTGGAGGTCCGTAGTGGCTTCACGACCGCATTCACCGAGAAGCTTCACAAGTCATCTAAATATCCTTACTATTAGGATTAGGATGCAATCATTACTTTTTCTTCATTCATCTCTTGCATTATATTATACGCTTCCTGTATCAGCCTTCCAGCCTTTTTATTGAATGAGAATTCAGACGACTAAAAAAAAAAAATTCAAAGCCCACGCTTTCCTTTTAAAAAAAAGTAAATTAAAATTATAAACCAAAAAAGTTACAAATATTTATTATAAATTTTAAAATAAATAAAAAATAAAAATTGTTAGGGGGCTTCATTTTGTGTGCTTCTGACCATCTATTTAGTTGGACCGGCACTGCGCATAAACACAACAACTTTTAACAATCATTAACCGGCCAAATTGAGTAAGACCAAAGGCCAAAGCTTGTTAATGATTAGTAAAACTTAACATATAAACAAGGTTCTGAGGTGCATGGATCTTAGATACTCTCTCTTCGCCAGAATCATTTGATATCCCTGTTGGAATGATACATACCATCAATAATTTTTTTGTCCTTGGACATTCTTTAAACTTTTTAGACAAACATAGTGCATTGCGTGAGTCACACCACACTTCCTTGATCAAATCCCATGCATTTATGGCACACTCATGTCATGCATTGGTGATTTCTGCAATGCTTTTATATATGTGTTTTCGTTGTTTTGGTAAGAAGAAAAGGATCTTCTATAAAGCTGCAGAAATCAAAACATTTAGATAATTAAGCGAAGTAGAAAACAGAGTGAAATCTCGCAAACACCAATTATATAAAGCTGCTAATTATTAGATTAAGAGCAATAAATAAAAACATTTAGATAATTAAGCGAAGTAGAAAACACACACATGACACACCCTGACACACATATTACATAATAAAATATTGAAAATCTCAAAACCCTGATACTGAAGAAACTCAGAACTACCTTGGCCGGTGAGCACGCAGAGGCTTTTCGGTGCTTGGAGCACCTGGCGGAGGCGTTCCGGTGCTTTGGGCACCTGGTGGAGGCTTTGGGGGTCCAGGAGCACCTGGCGGAGGAGTTCCGGTACCCAAAGCACCTGGTGGAGGCTTTGGGGCTCCCGGAGCACCTGGTGGAGGCTTTCCGGCGTCGGGAGCTGCAGTACCCTGCGAAGGCAACCATTTGAAGCTCTCAGGCGGATCATCTAGCATTTCTTGTTTCTTGACAGTGACTGTCTTCGGGGGAGCCTGAGAAGGTTTGGATGGGCCTGGCCCAAAGGGAGGCTGGGGAGTTTTTAGCAGGACCTTGATTTGGAATACTTGGCTTTAGAGGATTCCAGCCAAACTTCATGGCGACTGGCTTTGAAAGTAAAGTTCAGAGGAGAAACAAATGAGATGATTCGAGAGGAGAGGTGCTGTTGTCTTTTAAGGTTGTTTGTTTTGTGTGTTTCTACTCTTGAGTCGCTTACCCTTTTATAGTCATTTTAGTCTAAAGCATGTATACTTCATTTTTTGTGTGTTTGTTAATTTATCATGATGTTTTGATTAACTAAAACGTGCTAAAATTACGATTCTGATCATAAAAGTTTTTAAGTATACTATAACTTTTACTTGACTTAAAGGGGCGTTATCAACTTATTATATTTCCCGGAAGTTTCCTTTGATTTTGTATGAACATGTTTCAAACTGCGATTGTGAATTGTGATTATTAAAATAGGAATGAGTAACTTTTACTTTTACTTGCCACATGGGTTCAATAACTTAAACGGGATTATCAAATTTCCCGGAATGTTCATCTTTTTTTTTGGTTATAATTATAGACTATTTTGAAGATAATTGGGGATTAATATTTGCACATCGTATATTGATAACTGACCACTTGTTGATTTTAAGTTGCCAACAACTCTTTTTGTTTCTTTGAAGATTCCTTGTTCTTTTGCTAAATATTTTTGTGATCAGTCTTCTTTTTGTGTGTCAATGGATATGATGATGATGGTATAATTACTTTCTGTATCAGTTATAAAATGTAACAGAGTCAAGTTGTGAGATTATAATTAGAAGTTAATTACAGAACCTTTAAGCTTATGACAATAAACTACAGTTCTCAGTCGGTTCCTTTTGATAGCGGTTTAGGATTCAATTGGTTTGTACAACACAATTCAAGTGACAAGGCGGAAAAAAGTAGGGTTCCTCTTGAGAGTTAATAATGAAATAAAACTGTGAGGTGATAACATGGACTAATTAAATGCAAGCATTGTCCTATCACATTTATGATTTTCCTTACCCGCTCTGATTACACTTCCATAGAAATCCAACTGGATCTTGCAAATGGGACTATGACCCTCGTTAATTTAAAATTTTGCACTACAAATATAAAAACATTATTTTTTATGAAACAAAGACAAAAGTATCAAAATAACACCGTTTGTGAAAGAAAAAAAAAAATACCGTATATTACCACCATCTTAACCTTTTTATGTAATCTTTCTGAATAGGTAAAAGATTGCAGCAATAAGATTCTTGGAGACTTGGTGAGTAATGAGAAATTTGTGGTATTTGAAGTAACGAAAAGATTCTCAGATTAGAAATCCAGCAAAAGATGGCACACTCAATGTCATGCATCAGTGATTTCTGCAAGTTGCTTTTATATGTGTGTGTTTACGTTTTTTTTTTTTTTTTACCAATATGTGTTTACGTTGTTTTGGTAAGAAGAAGAAAATAATCTCTCGCAGACAGTTATATAAAACTGCTTATTATTAGATTAAGAGCAATAAAAAAAACATTTAGATATTTAAGCAAAGTACGTAGGACACACACTGACACACATACATATAACATATTTAAAGATTTTGAGATCTCAAAACCTTTTACTGAAGAAACTAAGAACTGCGTCAACCCGTGAACGCTTTTCTGTAGCTTTTGATGTCTGGAGCACCTGGCGGAGGCTTTTCGGTGCCCGGAGCACCTGGCGGAGGCTTTCCAGTGCCCGGAGCACCTGGCGGAGGCTTTGGGGCATCAGATGAATCATCTGTTTTTTTCCCAAATGCCAGAGAAATTTGTTCCTTGAAACTATCAGGCGGATCATCTACCATTTCTTGTTTCTTGACAGTACCTGGCCCCGATGGAGCCTGGGGAAGTTTGTGGGGGCCTAGTCCCGGTGGACCCTGGGGATCTTTGGGTGGACCTGGCCCTGGAGAAGTCTGGAGAAGTTTTGATGGGCCTGATCCCGATGGAGGATTGGGAATTTTAGCCGGACCTTGATTTGGAATACTTGACTTTAGAGGGTTCCAGCTAGACTTCATGGCGACCAGCTTTGAAAGTAAGTTCTTAGGGGAAACAAATGAGATGATTGGAGAGGTGATGTGTTGTTGTCTTTAAGGTTGTTTTGTGTGTTTCTACTCTTGAGTCCCGTTCCCTTTTTATAGTCATAATGTGGTCATTAGTATATGTATGCTTTTTTTTTGTTTATGTTTTGATTATTGAAACGTGCTGAAATTGTGTATA